ACTAAGTGGGACTCCAACTCAAAAAAAAAAAAAAAAAAATTAAAACTTTGACTTGTGAGGCAGAGAAAGTATCATTTAATTCAATATTGTCAAAGTGGAGTTTATTTCAGTGATAACATAACTAAGAGAAAAGAACTACATTCAAAATGTTACTCTTTTAGGTGAATAATGTATGGGCATAGATAGAAGCTATAGTACTTTATCAGCCTGTAGAAAAGACCACTGACATTTTCAAGGTCAAGATTCTGCCACTTCTAGTTATACAAGTTTCAAGTGGGCTGGGAAACATTGCTTTGAATCATGCTGGCCCTTGCCCCAAGAGTCTGAAAACAGAGTACAATGGCTGAGATAGACTGGCAGGGATACTAGACCAGAAGTTCCTTGTGGGTGTGCCCTTTGTGGGGGGGGGGGGTCCCTAGAGGATGATACTGGTTTGCCTTAAAGCTCACCTGGAAGACAGTGTGGAACCTGGTGAGGGCTGGTTGCTCTCTGAAGCCCTGTTCCCGGGGGAACTGTGGTCGCTGTCACCATGGTTGCTCCAGTGATTGGCCTCTTCCTCAAATTCCTGCCCAGACATGATCCTTTCGATTTCTTCTTCTGATATCTTTGACAAGGAATCAATACATATTAGATTGAGTGCTCAGGGCACTCTCTGTTCCTTCTGTAGGAATGAAAGCTTATTTAAATCTCATAGGATTTCCCAGAACTATCTAAAGAGAAACCCACATTCTCTCTCCTCCACCCCTTACTCCAGGCTTCTCACTAATCTTTTTTTTTGAGTTGGAGTCTCACTCTGTCACCCAGACTGGAGTGCAGTGGCTGCTCCCAGCCACCGCAGCCTCGACCTGCTGGGCTCCGGCAATCCTTCCTCAGCCTTCCGAGTAGCCGGAATTATAGGCACGTGCTACCATGCCCGGCTGATTTATTTATTTACTTATTGTAGAGATGAGGTCTCACCAAGTTGCCCAGGTGGGTCACGAACGCCACTCACTAATCTTAGGACAGTTTGGCTGCTTGCCTCCCAGCACCATGGCCCATCATGGTCTTTCTCTTGCTCATTTACCCTATTCTCAAGCCACAAAACCTCTAGGTTTTTCCATACTTCTCTTTGTCCTTGAGTCTATCCTTTCCTAATCCTGAAACATCATTCCTCAATGACAATTTCCTACCTGCCCTTTATTTATTTATTTATTTTTTGAGTTGGAGTCTCACTCCGTCACCCAGGCTGGAGTGCAGTGGCATGCTCACGGCCACCCCAGCTTTGACCTGCTGGGCTCCAGTGATCCTTCCGCCTCAGCCTTCCAAGTAGCCGGAACTACAGGTGCGTGCTACCATGAGCAGCTAATTTTTTGATTTATTGTAGAGAAAGTCTCACCAAATTGTCCAGGCTGTTCTTGAACCCATGGGCTCAGGCAATCCCCTCACCTTGGCCTCCCAAAGTGCTGGGATTATGAGGCTTGAGCCACCATGCCCAGTCCCTATTGTGCTTTAAGACCCAATTCAAATGTCAGCTCCTTTGTAAAGCTTTCTACCACCACCTAGACATAATTTTAGCTCCTTCTTCTACCAACTCATGATTCTGTATATTCTAGAAGAGGCGGATAACATAGTAGTTGAGGGTATGAATTTGGGAGCTAGACTACCTTTGTTCAAATCCAGGTTCTGCAACAGTCATTTAAAACTATTTTGACTTAAATTCCCTTATTTGTATGGCAGAAAGAATATTATCTACCACAGGATAGTTGAGAGGATTAAATTACTTAATACATATCAAATATTTAGAAAAGGGCAGGGACATAGCAACAATTATGGAGGGGCTGATAATGACATCATTATCATTGTTATTTTTGTAGCACTTATGGTAACGAATCATAGAAATACCCTCTACAAAACCTAAGACCATGATTGGACCTATAAAAGAGTAAGTACTCAGGAAATGCATGTTAAGTACCAACCATGTACCTTCCATGGATTTGTTTTTTTAAGAAAGACATTCCTAAACCTATTAAATAAAAGAAGAAATTGCAGCTCACGCAAGTGAACTGACTAGCCCAAGATCACACTGTGTGATCCGGACGGGAGTTTGAGGAAGAGGCCAAAGTATCCAAGTATTCAGTCCAGTGCTCTAGCTACTATACCAGAAAGGGAGTGAGTGAATAAACTTTAACCCAGAGTTGAGGCCTAACTGGCTAAATGCGGAACATAGAATGAGAGTGAGTGCTAAGGAGGAAGGGCCAGATGTATTTATATTTGTTGTTCCTATGGAAACCTGGAAGGACATTTTCTCCCAAGTCTAACTCAAATCTACATACTTCTTTATTCCAGCAGCCTATGAGAAAACCTTGAGTTGCTACAATCATAAATTAAGGAGCATTCAGAACTAGAACTCAGCTAGTACACAGGACTTGAAGGGGGAAACAAGAAACACTTGACTGGTGCATTGAGTTGAATAGTTGGTCTGAAATAGGTTGTATTACATATTAAATTAGAAGGTGTTTTTTTTTAAATTCAGTCACATATAGCAAACAAACAATTTTTCTCTTAGGAATCCTTAGAACTCTGAAATCATTATTTGCATTTTACAAGACATGTGAAGGCAAACTGTGCCATCAAACTGCAAGATGTTTACTGAGGCTCTGACTGATGCAGCTTCAGTGATGGAGGTGAGAGTAAGACCAGAGCCTGGAAGGCATTGAGGTACCTGAGTTGGGTGAAAAGGACCAGTCCTGGTGAAGAAATCCCACTCTAGCTAGAAGCCAAAGTCATACTGCACCTGTCTCTCCTGTGGGTCCCATGCAGCACTGGGCAATTACTGATGACTAAAAAGGATGGAACATTTTGGGAGTGCTTGAACCTGGGTTCAAATCTCATTTGTCACCTTCTAGCTGAGTAATGTTGGGCAAGTCACTCAAGCTCTCTGAGCCTCAGCTTCCTCATTTGTAAAATGGGCATAATGTTATATTCTCCTGTAGTTCATAGTTACCTCACAGGATGCTTGAACAAAGAAGCAAGCAGGTTGAATCGTATAGACTTGGGAGGCTAATCCAAGATAAAGTTATAAAGTACAGGTGCATAATAGGTGCTCAATAAATGGATGATTCAATACAGTTAATAACTTGTAGATCACAGCTTTGCCTCACACACCATCTATAAACAGTTAAAGACTGAAAGGATATGCCCAGCATCAAAAAGTCAAATGCAGTGATAGGTGAAATAGGTTTATCTGAGCATTAGCACCTTCAGTTCTGGAAAGAACACAGAGTATGGAGATGTAAGGGACTGAAAATTTTCTGCACAGTAGGGGAGTCATAAGGGCCAGTTAAAAACATTAGGTACTATTGAGGAAGGGTCTTTGTTAAGGAAATATTTAAGAATTCTCTCCAATGGGCTGAGCACAGTAGCATATGCCTGTAATCCCAGCACTTTGGGAGGCCTAAGCAGGAGGATTGTTTAAGGCTAGGAGTTTAAGACCAGCTAGGGCAACACAGTGAGATCTCATCTCTACAAAAAAATTAAAAAGAAAAAGTGAGTCAGGCAAGGTGGAGCAGGCCTACAGTCCTAGCTACCTGGGAAGCTGAGGCAAGAGGATCCTTGAGCCCAAGAGTTGGAGGCTGCTGTGAGTTATGATTGTGCCACTGTACTCCAGCCCAGATGACAGAGTGAGACTCTGTCTTAAAAAAAAAAAAATCCAGCCGGGCTCGGCGGCTCAGCCTGTAATCCTGCGCTTTGGGAGGCTGAGGTGAGTGGATTGCCTGAGCCCACGGGTTCAAGACCCACCTGGGCGACTTGGCGAGACCTCATCTCTACAATAAATCAAAAAATCAGCCGAGCGTGGTAGCGTGCGCCTGTAGTTCCAGCTACTTGGAAGGCTGAGGCGGAAGGATCGCTGGAACCTAGCAGGTTGAGGCTGCGGTGGCCGGGAGCGGCCACTGCACTCCAGTCTGGGTGACAGAGTGAAACTCCAACTCAAAAAAAAAAAAATCCTTCCTATGGATAAACTTTCTATTGCATCTAAACATAGAAAAATGAATATAAATAAAGGTCATATATGAAAAGCCCATAGCTACTATCATACTCGGTGAAAATGGTGAAAAACTGAAAGCTATTCCTGTAAGAAGAAGGATGCCTATTCCTGCCTATTCTATTCAGCATAATACAAGTGCTAGCCAGAGCAATTAGGCAAGAAAAATAAGTAAAAGGCATCCAAACTGGAAAATAATTTATATTATTTATTTTAAAATCCCCAGTAAAAATCCACAAGTAAAAGTATTCACATACACACAAAAAATTGTTAGAATAATAAACAAATTAAGCAAAGTTGCAGGATATAAAATCAATGTGCAACAATCAGTTGCTTTTCTTTTTTGAGTTGGAGTCTCACTCTGTTGCCCAGACTGGAGTGCAGTGGCACACTCTCAGCCACTGCAGCCTCGACCTGCTGGACTCCGGCAACCCTTTCACCTCAGTCTTCCAAGTAGCTAGAACTACAGGCATGCGCTACTACACCCAGCTAATTTTTTATTTATTGTAGAGACGAGGTCCTGCCAAGTTGCCCTGGTGGATCTCAAATCTGCGGGCTCAGGCAATCCATTCGCCTCGGCCTCCCAAAGTGCTGGGATTACAGGCTGAGCCACCGAGCTTGGCCAATCAGTTGTGTTTTTATACACTACCAATAAACAATCCAGAAAAGGAATTAAGGAAACAATCCCACTTACAACCACATTAAAAAGAATGAAATACTTAGCAATAAACTTAAGGAGGTGAAAAACTTATACACAGAAAACTACAAAACAGCTGCAAGAAATTAAAGACACAAACAAATGGAAAGACATCTCATGTTTATGAATTGGAAGATATCATGTTGTTAAAATGTCCATATTACATAAAGCAATCTACAGAATCAATTTAATTTCTATCAAAACCCCAATGGTATTTTTTGCAGGAAAAGAAAAAACAATCCTAGAATTCATATGAAATCATAAAGGACCCTAAATAGCTAGAACAACCTTCAGAAAGAATGACAAAGCTGGAGGTCTCACACTTTCTGACTTCAAGATGTATTACAAAGCTATAGTAATCAAGACAACGTGGTACTGGCATATGGATGGACATATTGATTGATGGAACAGAATAGAGAGCCTAGAAATAAACCCACATGTATATGGTCAAATGATATTTGACAAAGGTGCCATTACTCTACGACGGGGAAAGGATAGCCTTTTCAACAAATAGTTCTGAGAAAACTATATCCACAAGTAAAAAAATGAAGTTTGACCCTTATTTTATATCATACACCAAAACCAACTCAAAATACATTAAAGACTTAAATATAAGAGCTGAAACTATAAAACTCCTATAAGAAAACACAGAGGAAAAGCTTTATAACATTGGTCTTGGCAATAATTTCTTGAATATCATACCAAAAGCACAGGTAACAAGAGCAAAAACAGACAAGTGAAACTACATCAAACTAAAAAGCTTCTATGCAGCAAAGGAAACAAGCAATAGGGTGAAAAGGCAACCTATGAAATGGGAGAAAATATTTGCAAATTATACATCCTATAAGCAATTATTATGCAAAATATAAAAGGAACTCCTATAACTCAATAACAGCAATGACAAAATCAAAAAACCCAAACAAATAACTGAATTAAAAAACGGGCAAGAGACTTGAACAGACATTTCTCCAAAGAAGACAAATGACTGATAGGTATACCGGGGGATCCAAAAAGAACCCAAATTATTTTTTGGAGGGTGGGCCCCTTGTAGTACAGGCTTCTCCCGCTAGGCAAGTGTCCTAGGAACCCAATGACATCTGTGTGCCAACTAGCACCACTGTGAGAGACTGCACTCAGCTTCAGTGATTTTTAAAAGTTTTTAGATTCTTTCAACATGTTTGCCCATTTCAAGACAGGTGATTGACAAGTGCACCTGCTCACATGGCGGTGAATGTCCAGCAGTTTTTGACCAAAACATGTAAGAATAAATACACAATTTTTTATAAATACATTCTCATTTTTTTGAGATATCTCTTCATCAGAAAAGATATACATCACTAACCATCAGGGAAATGCAATCAAAATTACAAGATATTATCTCCCATCTATTAGTGAAAGACTTGTACACAAACTACAAAGCAGTTTGTGTCTTTAACAAACATCTGTTATAATGTCCATTATCAAAACCCCCAGAAAATAACAAGTGTTGGAGAGGATGTGAAGGAATTGAAACTCTTATATACTGTTAGTGGGAATGTAAAATGACTCAACCACTATGTAAGACAGCATGGAGGTTCTTCAAAAATCTGAAAATAGAACTATCATATGGTCTAACAGTCCACTTCTGAATATTTATCTAAAAGAATTGAAAACAGATCTCAAAGAGATATCTACACTTCCATGTTCACTGCAGCATTATTCAAAATAGCCAAGAGGTAGAAACAACCTGAATGTTCAATGAGAGAGGAATACATAAAGAAAACATTGTATTTACATACCGACAGATTTTAAAAAATTTTTAATGTTAATTAACTAAATTATTTTTGTCTACTTACCAGGGATGTGAAGGCACCCAGGACTACCTTGCCATCCAATTGTGGCTTTCAAGGGGAGTGTGACCAATTAGAGACAGGCAAAAGGAGCACAACACATGGCACTACATCCTTCCTGCCCCCTTATTTATTTCTGAGTCAGGGTCTCACTTTGTTGTCCAGGCTAGAGTGCAGTGGCACCATCACAGCTTACCACAGCCTGACCTCCTGGACTCAGGTGATCTTTCTGCCTCAGCCTCCTTAGCAGCTGGGACTACAAGTATGTGCCATCATGGTCAGTTAACTTTATAAAAAAATTATTTGTGCCGGGCTTGGTGACTCAGCCTGTAATTCCGCGCCTTTGGGAGGCTGAGGTGAGTGGATTGCCTGAGCCCACGGATTCGAGACCCGCCTGGGCAGCGAGACCTCATCTCTACAACAAATAAAAAAAAATCAGCCGGGCGTGGTAGCGCATGCCTGTAATTCCCGCTACTCGGAAGGCTGAGGCGGAAGGATTGCCAGAGCCCAGCAGGTGAGGCTGAGGTGGCCGGGAGCGGCCACTGCACTCCAGTCTGGGCAACCGAGTGAGACTCCAACTCAAAAAAAAAAAAAAAAAAAAATGTATTTGTAAAGACAGTTTTGCTATGTTGTCCAGGCTTATCTCAAACTCCTGGTCCCAAGCAATCCTCCCACCTTGACCTCCCAAAGTGCTGGGATTGCAGTCGTGAGCCACTCGGCATGGCCAAGTCTTTAAAAAGAAAGAAATTCTGTAATGTGCTACATACCAAGGATGAACCTTGATGACATTATGCTAAGTGAAATAAGCTATAAATACTGCATGATTCTACTTTATGCGGCATCTAAAGTAGTCAAACTCTTAGAAGCTGAAAGTGGAATGATGGTTGTCAGGGGCTGGAGGAAAAGGAAAATGAGGAGCCGCTATTCAATGGGTATAGTTTCAGTCATATGAGATGAAAAAGATCTTAAGATCTGCTGTATAACAATGTACATATAATTAACAATATTGTACTGTACACTTAAAATTTATTAAGGTAGATTTCATGTTACATGGTGTTTACTACAATAAAAAAGAACAGTTTTTAATCCATATCAACATAAATGAATTTATAAGAGATATGACTTAAATAACAAGAATAAAAATGTTTGATTTAAAAAAATACAGTAGAGTTAGGAGTTTTACCCACCCATACCCTGACTGAGTGTATAAGCATACCAAGTTCATGTGACAGGAAATCTTCCATAAGTCGTCAGTGTCTCAAAAGAACTCTGAACTCTTGTCTTTCATTTTTCACATTTAATTGGCTAAATCCTATCAATTTATCCACTACATATTTTTTGAATCTATTCCTGCCCTTCAATATGCACTGTCACTGCTCTGCTTCAAACTATTATCTGTAACTCTTGCCTGGACTTCTGCAAACCTTTCTAACTGCTTTCTCTCTCCCTCAGTCTCACTCATCCTCACCCTACTCCCCACAAACCATTTCCACAGCTAGAATGATCTTTCTAAGATGCAAATCTGAGTATGTCCCTCTCTCTACTGAAAACCTTTTAGTGGTTGCCTCTTGGTCCACACCAGTAATTCTTAAGGCATGCCCCCTGCCTACTGGTGTGCTGAAGGATTCATTTGACAAGTCATAAATAGATCCCATTTCCCATCTTCATGAAGTTCTTCTATTGGCAAGTAAGAACACGTGGTATAGGCTGGTCCTATAGAGATTTTACCTAAGGAGCTAAAGTCAAAGATAGTAGAAGGCTACCCTTTAGGGAACTGACTGCAAATTCAAGGAATCTGCCTTATCTCTTGCCACTCCACTACATGTGCTCAATGCTCTCACTTGACTAAAGAAACTCCTTGTCATTCCTTAAAGATTTATCTTTAGAGTTGGGCACAGTGGCTCACACCAGCAATACCAGCACTTTGGGAGGCCAAGACAGGGGGAATCTCCTGAAACCAGCCTGAGCAACATAGTGAGATCCCTCTTCATAAATAAAAAAATCAGCTGGGCGTGATGGTGTGCACTTGTAACCCCAGCAACTCAGGATGGTAAAGCAGGAGGATCACTTGAGCTCAGGAGTTGGCGGCTGCAGTGAGATATGATCATGCCTAGATAGCAGAGTAAGACCCTGTCTCAAGAAAAAAAAGAAAAAAGAAAAAGATTCTTTCTCTGGTCTTTGTATAATCTATTTTGTCTAGCATGAATAAAAGATGCCTGGCTTCACAGTCCTTCCTAACACAGCTAATTCTTCCTCCTCCTTCAAGACTTAGTTCAAACTTTACCTTCTCCAGAAAGCCTTCCCTGAGTCTCTAGTCCTCAGTCATGGGTCTAGCCTGAACAGAAGTCCCTCTTTCTGTACTCCATAGGCATATTCCATTATCTCTTACTATACTATGATGTCTGTTACATATCTGTCTTTCCCCTTAGACTGAATTCACAGTATAGGGTCTAAAAGAGTAGGAATAGTAAACGTTCGTGGGATTGAGCAGGGTATTATCATTCCTACCTTACAAATAAGATTTTTTTTTTAAGTTGGAGTTTCACCCCATTGCCCAGGTTGGAGTACAGTGGCATGCTCACAGCCACTGCAGCCTTGATCCGCTAGGCTCAGGTGATCCTTCTGCCTCAGCCTTCCAAGGAGCTGCAAGGTATGTACTACCATGTCCAACTAATTTTTAAAATTTATTTACTGTAGAGACAAGGTCTTGTCAAGTTGTCCAAGCTGGTCTCAAACCCCTGGGCTCTGGCAATCTTCTCGCCCTAGCCTCCCAAAGTACTGGAATTACCGCTTTGAGCGACTGCGCCCGGGCTACAAATAAGATTTATAATATTCTGCTGATATATCTTTAGATGAAATGAATAGTAAAGTAGTCTTGCTAACTTCTGCCGGCTAAGTTATCTATACAACCTTAAGTGATTGACAAAAAATCCTCTGCGTGGTTTTTTTTGTTTTTTTTTTTTTTAGTTGAAGTCTCACTCTGTCGCCCAGACTGGAGTGCAGTGGCCGCTCCCAGCCACCACAGCCTCGACCTGCTGGGCTCCAGCGATCCTTCCGCCTCAGTCTTCCAAGTTGCTGGAACTACAGGCGTGCGCTACCACGCCTGGCTAATTTTTTTTTGATTTATTGTAGAGATGAGATCTCGCCAAGTTGCCCAGGCGGGTCTCAAACCCATGGGCTCAGGCAATCCACTCACCTCAGCCTCCCAAAGGCGTGGTATTACAGGCTGAGCCACCGAGCCCAGCTACTCTGCGTGGTTTTAAAACCAGAATTGGGTTCACTACCTGTGAAACACTTAGGAAAGGTTGAGAAATCACAAGAAGAACTTTAATTATTACCTTATACATTTCAGATTTTCAAAGCACTTTCACATCCAGGTCCTAAAAGCAGTTTTACAGGAATGAAAGCAAAGATGGCTTCCCCCAAAAGGATCAAGGTGAGCAGCTCTAGGAGCATTTGGAGTTCTGGGCTTCCAGAATGTACCACAGAGAGTGAGGCCTAGAACTCACCTGGACTGGCCCAATGCTCTTATTCCGGCCTCCAGGCATGCCATCTTCTCTGATAGCTGAAAGGAAACATAGTCAAGAAAGATAGTCAGAAGCACACTCACAAAGAATAAAAAGAGAACTTATTTGGCCAAAAGCACAAGGTAGCCTTAAACACAAGTCTTTCTGGACTTTTTTCATTAATTAGATTCTCAGATTTTTTTATTTTATTTTAATTTTTTAGATAATTTAAATTTTTTACCTCGCTGGTTCCTTCCTGCAAAGGCAGTCAGAAGTAGAGCTTCTTTGCAGTTGAAGGAGCTTACTTGGCATTTTCTAACTATAAAAATCATTCTTTAAATACTAGCAGCCTCACTAAGAATAACAACTACTAATTTTATTATCATCACTGTTTATGGAACATTTATTATGGGGCACAGAGAAGAAAACCCCTGATTTGCAATTACAGTAGGACCCTAGTATTAGGCAAAGCTTTCTGGAAAAGACAACCTCTGAACTGAATCTTGAAAGTTAGGAAAAGGGTGCTTCAGGTTGAGTGAATAGTGTACAGAAAAGTTGCAAGTTTTTTTTGTTTTTTGTTTTTGAGTTGGAGTCTCACTCTGCCGCCCAGACTGGAGTGCAGTCGCACGCTCCCTGCCACCGCAGCCTCGACCTGCTGGGCTCCAGCGATTCTTCCATCTCAGCCTCCCAAGTAGCCAAAACTACAGGCGTGCACTACCATGCCCAGCTAATTTTTTATTTATTGTAGAGACGAGGTCTCGCCAAGTTGCCTGGGTGGGTCTCCAACCCATGGGTGCAGGCAAAACACTTGCCTCGGCCTCCCAAAGTGCTGGGATTACAGGCTGAGCCACCAAGCCCGGCCAAAAGTTGCAAGTTAAAACGAAGAACGGCCTTTGGGAGGCTGAGGTGAGTGGATTGCCTGAGCCTGCGGGTTCAAGACCCACCTGGGCAACTTCGCAAGACCTCATCTCTACAATAAATCAAAAATCAGCCGTGCGTGGTAACACACGCCTGTAGTTCCAGCTACTTGGAAGGCTGAGGCGGAAGGATCGCAGGAGCCCAGCAGGTCGAGGCTGCGGTGGCCGGGAGCGGCCACTGCACTCCAGTCTGGGTGACAGAGTGAGACTCCAACTCAAAAAAATAAAATTAAATTAAAATAAAGCTAAGAATGGCCTGTTCTTTCTAGGGACTTCCAAGTGGTTTAACCTGGCTAAAATACTGGGGAAGGGTGGCTTACCACAGGGAAGAGTAGCAAGAGATGAGGCTGGGGAGACCAACTGTGGCCAGATTATAGAGCCTTCAACACAAGGCTGAGGGTATAAACTTTAGCTGATGAGTTGGAAGGCAAGAAGAAATGCAGGAAAGCATTGTAGTCATGCTGGAGTTTTTGAAAAAATCTTTGTGACAACCACTGTGGAGAGTGGTTTTGGAGGAGGGGGTAATGTTAATAATGACAGAGGATAAGCTAATACATTATATGAGAGCATGCTTTGTTGTAACGTACCTGCCGCAAAAATAAAATAATGTAAGGAACTAGAAAGTCCTTGGGGCAGCGCTGAAAGGTTGACAGAAAGTTCATCTTCATTAAAGCAGACCTCATTCCTGGTATCCTCTGAAGATTACACACTTCAGAATTAGACAAGCTTGGGTCTAAATCCTATTTCTGCCTGATCTGTGTAATTATGAACAAGTTTCTTCATCTCTCTGAACCTCAGTTTACTGAAGTGTACAGAGAAGATATTGGTACATGTCGTATGTGACATTATATAAAATAGTATAGCTAAAACATTAATCATAGGGCCTGGCAAATAAAGTAGACATTTAGTAGCTAATACTTCCCTCTCCTTAGCCTCTTTTCTCTGAACACAGGAGTTTTAAATGCAAGGTTCCATTCTCAATTTTGCTAGAGCCTTAATATTTTCATCTATGAAATGGGGCAACATGGTCTGCTTTATAAAGCTGTTGTGAATTTGGAGTGAGAAACATAGACAAACAATGTTGGAGGTAGATATATGCAGGTTATTGCCAGGGAGTTCTCCTTCAACCTACTTTCAAGTTCCTTAAAATCCCTCCTTGGTTATCCCATGGTCAGTAACAGTCTCTAGATACTTTTATTTCCAATACTGCCATCTCACATGTCTGCCTCAGCTCACAGGTACAGAACAAAATCTGTCACTGGAAAATACAACACTGAACACATTTCAGCTCTTATCTCATTCTCATCTAAAGCTTATAATGTACTTGCATATATGTATATTAGCTCATTTGATATATCACTGTCCTGGAGGTAAGAAAAGAACTCAACATAGTTTACTTTTTTAAAGGACCACAAATGTTGAAGATTTACATCTTGCCAATCTTTTGCTCTGAAATGTAAAAGCTCATCTTCTCCCTGAACTTCACCTGGAATAGGGAAATTCACATAGAATGGACAATGTACTATGTGTTAGGTACTGCTATCTCAGGTAAAATAACTTATAAGGAAAGTATTAGTATCATCCCATTGAACAGATGACTCTAAGGCACAGAGAAATTAAGTATTTTGCTTAAGGAGACAGAAACTGAACAGCAGAATCAGAGTTGGAACTCAGGCTATCAGACTCTAAGATCAGATTCCTTTCCACTACTAGTATTTCCTATAGTGTAAGTGCATCCTTTTGGAGAAACATAAGATAGCTTTAGGTGTCACATAAAGTCTTAATTATACATTATGCTAATGTGCTTTAAAATAGTGATTTTTCCATTCACAGAGGTGATAAAAAATTGCCTTTGAAAATTAACTTTGATTTTAAAAAAAGTATTTAAATAATAAAAACAGTAATACCAGCTTAATTAGAGATGGGAAAACCTGTCAAGATGGCATGAAAATGTCTGAAGTGTGGAAAACAATACAATGTGTCACAGTGTTTTGCTCTGTTAAAACAAAAACTTGGATCACATTTTAAAGCTTATAATGTACTTGCATAAATGTATAATAGCTCATTTGATCCTCACAACAACTTTGAAAGGGGTATATTGTTATTAACCCATGCACTTTTGAGATGAAGAAATGAAGATCAAAGAGGTAAAGAGACTTAGTCAAAGTTACTCAGGGAAGAAGTGACAGAGCTGAGGTTTCAATTTAGGTCTTCTGATTGAAAAGCTGTGCTTGTTCCTTGATGTGACACTGAGCTAAAAGTAAGTTTTACAGCAATGTAGAAAGTCTTTCTGGCAGTGATCTGATTCAAAAGACCAAATGACTTCTGGGTGCAGTATTATAGGAATTGTTCTGTTGTAACTCTTGTGGAAGCCTAAGAATGAGAATGGTGCCAATCAAGGCTCTTCTACCTTTTCGGAAGGAGCACAAATACTTTTTCTGCACTAAAACTCATGCCTACATTTCTCACTTGCTTGGGCCTGAGCAGTCAAACCCAGAAGCCAGAAACGTATGTAAGAAACAAAGCTAAATACATCAAAATTCTGCTCAAAACCTGCTGGTGTTGGTCTTTGGTCTATGGGATAAGTCTAAGCACCTTAGCTTGGCATTCAAGACTCTTCGTGATCTGATTCTGTGAGATTTCCCATCCTAATCTCTTGCCATAAATGCTGTTCCCTGTCTACAGAGAATTATCTGTTAGTCCTTGAACATGCTCTGCTGTTTTACATAGTTGTACCTCTGCACATGTTGTTTCTATTCAGAAAGAATCTTTTTCAGATTTTTCAGTGGAAAAATCTGGTAACACCACCTGATCCAAGTGACACCACCATAACCAAGTGATTCAAGTTAATAACACCAATAATGGAACAAACTTACATCATGTGCTCTTGATATGACAGACTGAGAAGGATACAACATCATTTCTTTTTCTTTTCTTTTCTTTTTTTTTTTGAGTTGGAGTCTCACCCCGTTGCCCAGGCTGGAGTGCAGTGGCACACTCATGGCCACCCCAGCATCGACCTGCTGGACTCTGGCAATCCTGCCGCCTCAGCCTTCCAAGTAGCCAGAACTACAGGCACGTGCTACCATGCCCGGCTAATTTTTTGATTTATGGTAGAGATGAGGTCTCACCATGTTGCCCAGGCTGTTCTCGAATCCATGGGCTCAGGCAATCCTCTCGCCTTGGCTTCCCAAAGTGCTGGAATTATAGGCTTGAGTCATCGTGCCCGGCCTATTTCTTTGGCATTCTTGCAAAAAATGCATAACCTGAATCCAACTGTGAGGAAACTGACAAATCCAAATCGAGGGATATTCTACAATGCATAAATAACCTATTTACTTTAAAATCAACAATGTTAATAAAGACAAAGAAAGGCTGAGAAACTATTTCAGATTAAAGGAGACTAAAAAGACAAAAACTAAATATAGTGTTATTTCCTGAATTGGCTTCTATATAAACAAAAAATTCCTGAATAAAATCTACTAAGTCAATAACAGCATTGTGTCATGCGAAATTTCCTGATTTTGATAACAATTCTTTGGTTATGTTAGAAATAAAGAGGAACTGGCTGGACAGGGCAGCCCACTCCTATAATCCTAGCATTTGAGAAGCTGAGGCAGGAGGATCTCTTGAGGTCAGGAGTTTTGAGAGCAGTCAGGGAAATATGAGACTTTGCCTCTACAAAAAAATCAAAAAATTAGCTGGACCTGGTGGCATGTGCCTATAGTCCTAGCTACTCCTGAGGCTGAGGTGGGAGGACTGGTTGAGCCCAGGAGTCCAAGGCTGCGATAAACCACGATCCTGCCACTGTACTCCCGACTGGGTGACAGAATGAAATCCCACCCCCCCACCTCCATAAAAGAAATAAAGGGGAATGATGCCTATATCATTAAGAAACTACACACACACACACACACACACACACACATACACACACACAGAGAGAGAGACAGACAGACAGACAGATAGACACAGAGAGACAGACTTTTTGCTTCAGAGGGCAAGAGGGAGGGAGGGAAGAAGAGGGAGAGAGAGGAAGGGAGGGAGGGAGTAGAAATAATAAAACAAATAGCATGATAAAGCAAATAAGGCAAAATGTTAACAATCAGTGAATTTGGGTGAAGGATAAATGGGAGTTCTTA